CCTCAGCCTGCAGCAGCTAGGGGCGGCCGGGGGGGGCCCGGCCGGGGGACCGGAACCGCCTCCGCCTCCGCCTCGGGCCGGCGCGGCCGGCAGCGCGCCTGCATGAGGTTGATGCTGCTCTGCTGCACCTGGAGGGACGAGCCTATGGGAGAGGACGAAGGTGCGTGACCCCCCGAGCCCCCCGGCTGACTCAGCGCTTCCGCCGCCGCTCGGGCCCCGGGACCCCCCAGCCCGGCTCCTGCGGACCCTGCCGCCGGCCTGCAGCCCCCCGCATCCTGCCCGCAGCCTCCCGCACTGTCCCCGCGCCCCTGCATCCTCCTCGGCATCCCCATCCCGCACCCCTGCACCCCCAGCATGCCCCCTGCACTCCCCACCCAGCCCGCATCACCGCTGCATCCCCAAAGGTGCCCGTGAGCCCGCATCCCCCCCTGCACCCCCTCACCCAGCCCGCATCCCTCCCTGCATCCCCCACTGCATCCCTCTCTGGTCTGTGTCCCCCTTGTGCCCCCCCATCCAGCCTGCACCTTCCCCACAGCCTCCCTGCATCACCCTCCACCCCTACATCCCCCTCTGAAACGCCCGTCCCGCACCTTACATCCCCCGTGCCCCCCGCACGTCCCCTGTGCTCCCCAGCCACCCTGCATCCCTCTTGCACCCACAGATCACCCCCTGCACCTCGCACTCGTCCAGCCCACAGCACCGCTGCATGCTCCACTGCACCTGCAAATGTCCCCCTGCATCACTCCCCTGGCTGCATCCCCCTGCACCCCCATCCAGCCAGCATCCTCCTCACACCCCCAAATGTCCCCAGCAGCCCCTGCTCACCCTGCCTCCCCTCTGCGCGCCCAGATCTTCCCTGTTCCCCCAGTTCAGCCTCCATCCTCCCATCCTTCCTTGTACTGCCACCCAACTGCATTCCCCCCTGCACGCCCAAATCCCCCCCATCCTCCTTGTCCAGGACTGTGCGCCCAGCCTGCATCCCTGCACCCTCCCAGCACCCCACATCTCCCACTGCAGCCCTGTCCAGCCTGCATCCCCTCCTGCACCTCCACATCCGCCTGCACCCCCACACCTCCCCATCTCCCCCTGCACACTCCATGTGCCCCTCCTGCACCCCCATCCCCTCCAGCCTGCATCCCTCCTGTGCTCCCCAATCCCCCTGCATCTCTCCTGCACCCCCAGATCCCTGCTGTGCCTTCCTTCCCCTCTGCACTCACTGGGCCTCTTGTACCACCCCAAGAACGTGCACCCCAGGACCTCTGCAGCCACCCTGCATGCCTCTGTGTGTCCCCCATTCACCCTCCACCCTGCACCCCTCTGTGTCCCCCCATGCACTGTGCATCCCCCAGAACCCTCTGCACCTCTCTGTGCTCTCCTGCATCCCCCAGCACCCGTCCAGCATCCCTGTGTGTCCTTCTGCATCCTCCATCATCCACTCTGCACCCCTGTGTGCCCCCCACTGCCCTGTGCATGCCCCAGCACCCACTCTGCACCCCTCTGTGTGTCCCCCATTCATCCCCCACCCTGCAGCTCCTGTGTCCCCAGCACTCACCCTGCTGTCCCCCCATGCACCCACCAGCCATCCCACACCCCGCCATCCTCCTGGATCCCTTGTGCACCCATCCTGCCCCTCTTCACCCTCCCTACACTCTGTGCCCCCCTCCTGCCCCCTCTGTCCCCCTCCCATCCCTGCCCTGTCGCCAGCCCTGGGGCCATGGGTGCCACGACCTTGACCCGTTGTGGGATCAGTGGGTGGGGGATGGAACTCACCCCCCCGGGCAGAGGGATTTCATCCCGGCTGCTGCTGTGGGGGCTGGGGCTGGCTGCTGGGGTGACAGCGCTGTCCCCTCGTGTTGCTGCCTGCAGGGAGCGACCTGCCGGTGTGTGCGAGCTGCGGGCAGGGCATCTACGATGGGCAGTACCTGCAGGCACTGAAAGCTGACTGGCACGCCGACTGCTTCAGGTGGGACCCGCGGGGACACCGGGGACACCGGGGTGGCATCAGGGACAGTGGGATGGATGGTGTCATGGACACTGGAATGGATGGCCTTAGGGACACCGGGGTGGCTTCAGGGACAGTGGGATGCTCTGCAGGGACAGGGACAGTGCTCCCTCCCGTTCCGGCCATGGCAGGGACATGCGTGCAGCTATCGTGGTGTCACTCACTGGAGCGTGGCTGTGGCTCCTGGCACCCGTGGGGATGCTCCGGCTGAGGCCAGGCCTGGCAGAGGGCTCTGCTGCCTGTCCCTCGCTGTCCCCTCCTGCCGGGTGACAGGGCGCGTGTGGCTGATGTCACCCGCCCCCCTCCCTCCCAGTTTCCTCTTTCACTCGAGCCCTCCCGGCAGCTCCAGCTGTTGGAGCCCCGAGAAGGAGAAGGAGAAAGGGTAGGGTCAGGCTGCGCAGGGGTGCCCGGGACCTGACAGGGCTTCCTGTGGGGCTGGGGGTGCCCAGGGTTGTCCCCGGGGTGTGTCCCTGTCGGAGGAGGAGGATGCTGGCAGCGGTGCTGAGGAAGAGCCGCGTCCTGAGCGCTGGAGCCAAGTGAGTGGGAGTGGGAGTGGGATTGAAGTGGGAGCGGGTCAGGACGGGCCCTGCACCCCAGGGAGCCCCGGGGGGCTCAGCCTTGTCCCCCGTGCTCGGCTCCCCCTCTCCGGGCCGTCAGCCAGGGCAGGGCCGCTGCGGGGCCGCAGCTGGATCCGGTCCCCCCGGATGAGCAGCTTCCGGCAGCGCTTGCCCTGCTGAAAGCCTTCCTCCTCCTGCTCCTGCTCTTCCTCCTCCTCTCCTCTCCTCTCTCTCCCCCTCTTCTCCCCCTCCCCTTCCCCTTGTCCTACGTTTCCCTCTCCTTCTCCCCCTGCTGCTCTTCCTCTCCCTCCTCCTCCTCCTCCCCGCCCCCAGCCCAGGGGAGGTTTCGTGCTGCGCCATCGGAGGGGGAGTCCTCGTGCGGTGACGTCATGGGGTGGGGAAACTCCGCGCCGTGACGTCACCGCTGCTTGGTATTCCACCTGCGTGGCCGGGGACCCCCGTACTGCACATCCCTGCAGGAAATCCCCTGCAGCTGCCCCTGCACTCCCTGTGCAACCCTGCACCCTACAGCTCCCCCGTACTGCACATCCCTGCAGGAAATCCCCTGCAGCTGCCCCTGCACCCCCTCTGCAACCCTGCACCCTACAGCACCCCCATACTGCACATCCCTGCAGGAAATCCCCTGCAGCTCCCCCTGCACTCCCTCTGCAACCCCCACACCCTACAGCTCCCCCGTACTGCACATCCTTGCAGGAAATCCCCTGCAGCTCTCCCTGCACCCCCTCTGCAACCCTGCACCCTTCAGCACCCCCGTACTGCACATCCCTACAGGAAATCCCCTGCAGCTCCCCCTGCACCCCCTCTGCAACCCTGCACCCTACAGGAAACCCCCGTACTGCACATCCCTACAGGAAATCCCCTGCAGCTGCCCTGGCACCCCATCAACCCCCTCCCAAAGAGGATCTCCTGCTTTGCAGCCCCCTGCACCCCTCCCACCACATCCCCTGCACCCATTCAGCACTCCCCTGTAGAAAATCCTCTACAGCTCCCCTTCTGCACCCCTCAGCCACTCCCACACCCCCACACAAATCCTCTCTGGTACCCCTGTCCCGTCCTGCACAGTCTGATGTGCACTCCTGCTGCTGTATCCCAAAACAGCCCCGGGCACACCCTGCTGTTGTCACCCCTGCACCCCCCAGAAGCTCCCCCTCCCCCTGTGCCCCTTGCAGATTGTCCCAAGGCTGATGTGTCCCTGGCCAGGCTGGCGTATCCCTCTGGCTGCCTGTGCCAGGGTAGGGAGTTTGTGACCAAGGGGGCATGTCCTCTGTCCCTGATCAGGCTGGCACATCTGTCACCAGGGTGAGAAATCTCTCTGTGTATCCGTGACCAGGGTGGCATGTCC